GCTCCACCTCCTCCTGAACTACCTCACCATAGGTGCGGATGAAAACACTACATCATTAATTTATATTGGCTTAAATAATTAACAATCTGCTCATAATAATATTTCATTCCTTTTTTTGTAGCAGATCCTCCCCCAACCTAAATCCAATTGTTCAATCGCCAGATCATCATAGTGCTCAGTACGATGACATTGTGTTGGAAGGTGAGGCTGCATCCACACCATCTCCAAGGAGGTCTCCAACGCCACAGCCGCCACCTCCAAGGAGGTCTCCAACACCGCTACCACCACCTCGAAGGAGGTCTCCAACGCCTCCTCGCCCCCACCTACCAAGAAGCCAAGTGCTAGCAAGAGGCCAGCCCCGCAAATGAAGAACCAGTCCCCGTCGGCAAAGAAAGCCATCGTGAAACCAAGGGCTATTCCCAAAATAATATCTGAAGAGAAGAAAGAAGGAACTAATGCATATAAAAAAGATTTGTCCAGATTTATGACAAACTTAAAAAGAATCAAGAAGCAAGGAGAAACCCAGAGAAACCGTACTTCTTCGTAGCTCCAGATATTCTAAGAAAAAGGTGGCTTCTTACCAGCAACAACAGCGGGAATCTCATAAGCCATCCAAATCAATGTTAACGGACTATGACCGCACTCTCACCAAGTCAATTGAGGTGGCATAGAAAAAGAAGCGGGCAGGGAAAGGAGTTGCCCAACTCGGACAACAATCGCACTAATTAGTCCACCCGCTAGTTGTTGGTAATGAATATGGTTCGAATTTAGGATTAATGCTTCAGACAAACATACCTCCGGATGTCGATTTGGATCACCTTGGTGAATTTATTGATGAGACTGGTCTTGACCTTTACCAGATGTTTGGTGATGGAAACACTGAGAGTGCGGCGGAGGTTGATATTTGGAAGAAAAAATTTGTACTAGGCCAGAGTCTATACAACCCTCAAGCCTTATCTGATCTGGGGACGCAAATATACCTGCTAAACAAGTGGTACATGCAGGCGTCTACCGGTGGAGACTGCTGCGTTGGTGTCAGAATTAGAGACGAACATTGGTTCCGTGGCGATGATGTTATGTATGTTGACTTTGCAGAATTTCATCAACTATGCCACCTGACCTCTCTAGACAAAGTTATCATTAGCTGCTATTGCCTGTAAGTAATAATTCTTTCGATCTATTATTAAACTCATCATATGTGCGTATATGCATATAAATTATCCTAACAAGTACTATATATATGCAGATTTACAATGACAGAGCTCAGAAAGGTAGGTTGCAATGAAATTGGTTTTATTGATCCCCATATAGTATTCAAAGACCCAGTTACTCCAAAGACTAATTGGAAGTCTGAGTCAGAGAGTAACCTCATGAACTTCTTAGTGAACCAACGCCACAAGAAGGATATACTCTTTCCCTACAACTTTAAGTGAGTGTTAATAATGTCGATCATCCTTAATGGCTCATATGTTGATTCTAGTTAATTAATGAATGTTATGCGTTATATCCTATAAACACATGCAGCAATCACTGGATATTGATGGACATCGATCTGGTGAAAAGTCACTTGATAATCTATGACTCGATGAGAAAACCACAACAAGACTATCAAGATATGATAGATATTATCCAGAGGTAATTTCGGTATCTCTAGCAACTATATATACACACAAACATGATGATTAACTATATCTGATGACGTGGCAAATTTTTTATTGGGCAGTGTTTGGAAAACCTTTATTGAGAAGCAACACATGGGAAAATGCAAAGCGCCACTGAATGTAATCCCTTTGAAAGTAAGTCCCCTAAATCGCATTATCTTTATTAATTAAACATATAGCTTTCACCGGATCACTAGATTGGATGACAAATCTTTTTCTCGTAAAGTGGTGTCTGAGGCAGGAACAGGGGAACAACTACTGTGGTTACTATGTTTGCAAGTTTATCAAGGTGGTCTCCCAAAGAACTCCTACAGAGAGACTCAAAGTACGTTAAAAATACACTATATATTCATTTAATTATTATTATTGATTGTGTTACTATGTCTTTATATATATATGTACATATATTAATTTATTTTCCTTTAATTCAAACCTGTAGGCTCGATGGTTGGAGGAAAAGGTCATACGGCAAGACCAAATCAAAGCAATTCAAGAGTCTATAGCCGGATTTTTTAATGAGCAGGTCATCGATTCCAAGGGCGAGTTCTACTTCGACCCAACACTGCCATGGAAGCCAAGCTAGAGGATGAGAGGAAACTTGTTATATATCACAACAACTGTAATGCAATCTTTTGTAATATATGTACATGAAATAATATAATGTAAAATACACATATGCATGCATGCATGTAAATATATGTATGATGCATGCATGCATATATATATATATATTTCTATGCTTGAATTGTGTGATTTAATACGTTCATTGTGCTTGAACCGAAACATACTATACGTGTGTATAAATGTATAATTAGCAGCGTACAATACGACTACGAAAACCTATTTTGAAAAGAAAACAAAAAAATGAAAAGAAAAGAAAAAAGAAAAAAAACCTTTAGTCCCGGTTCGTATTATCAACCGGGACTAAAGGTGCCGGCCATCGTGGCATGTCAGGAGGCACCTTTAGTCCCGGTTGGTGTTACCCACCGGGACTAAATGTCCTCCTTTAGTCCCGGTTCCTGACCCGGGATTAAAGGACCCCCTTTAGTCCCGAATGCTTGCTCCCGGGTGGGGAACCGGGACTAGAGGGGGTTCCCCACTGGGAGTAAAGCTCTATTCTCTACCAGTGAGAGGCGGACCTCTAAACAGGTTAGTCTCTGAAAACAGTGGCCATTTTGGCTTGTCTCCATAAATTGAGCCCAGCCCACAAAGCCCATCAAGAACTGATATCGGCTTCAGAAACCCTAAGTCACCCTACCGCACTTCTCTCCAAACAGAAGTCGCAGAGCTGCCCCTGTCGCATCCTCTGGCCATAGCACAAAGCGCCACCCCCTCTAGTGGTGAGCACGATGCATGGTACCGGAGCACGGACCCTGATGATGGATGGCGGCCTCAGCACGCGCGTGGCTCTAGGGCGCGCAGATCGAGCAGGGATGGCGGCATGGCGGCGGATCGAGCAGGTGCAGCGTCGTGGCGGTGGCGAGCTGACGGCAGCCTGGGTAGCGACCCTCTGTCCCAGCTCGTCTTGGGCCATGGGGGGTGCCTACACGGCCAAATTTTGCTAATCTTTAAGAATTTCTACAATAGGAGGGGGTGCCTGGGCACCCACGGGCCCTTATTTGGCTTCGCCCCTGGTAGCGGGCTTGGCTTGCAGGCCCGAGCAGGGGCCTCCACCGACAGGTCTTGGTTTGTTTTTGTTTTTTTTCCTTGCCCGCCTCTGTTATTCATGGTTTTCAGTAACGAAATGTCAGAGGCGGCAGTACTGCCTGCCTCTGTTAAACGTTTTTGCCAGTCTTCAAAATTGGTTTGGTAGTAGTGTTAGAGAAATGTATGTTTGTACACTGGAAATCTAGTTGGCACACGTACGTGCATTTGATGGATATGTTTTTGAAAACTGGAGGAGGAAGTGTGGAAGTCCAAGGCATCTAATTAATCAGTTAGACCTCGAAAGTATAGATTGCTGACTTGTGGATGTGATCATTTCCATGCCACCATTTTATACACACAACAAAATGAGCAACTTTAGTGTACATACGTGATAGCTCTTGGAAATCTGAACATGGAAAATCTTTACTGTAATGGCATATGTCAATGCTCGCTCCTCTGGTACAGTTTGAACCATGTTCTTCAAGGCCAATAGGTTCTTGTTAGTCCACTGAACAAGCAACAAGATCGACATGCGTTTACAAATAGGAATACATTTCCACCACATCTAGAGGAACCATGCGATAGGTTCACCTGGTTAGCAACATTGTTTCGAGTTGCAAATAATTTTTAATCACATAGTAACATTTTTTTTCCCTTGATGCAAGGAAGAAACACTGCCTCATAGTTACAGTACAAGAGTACTGGTGGTTCCAGATGTCAATCAGCCTGTTCGCTTGTTGGTTTCAGCCAGCCAACAGTGTTTTCCTCTCACAACAAACCAGCACCAGCCGAGCTTATCAGCCTAGAAACCAACCACGAATAGGCCGAATGTCTGCTTTGTAGTACTATTGAAACAAGCAAGACATGTATATGACCACTTCATGCATGTCCCATGTGTTGAAGAAAAAAATCATACTGGTGGCTCAATCCTAATGTCACAAGCATATTGCCTAACCTTCCATATCTAACTTTTCAGCAAGCTCACTTAAGATCATATTTTGAATTAAAGTTCGAGGGTTGGTTTTATTTCAGAAAAATAACTTCACTCTTATAGGTAAGCGAGACACTTTTGGGTAATAAGTTGTACTCATGCCAGCAGCTAAGATTTGGGGTAGGTTTTTTTCTCCCCTCAGACCTTGTTTTTGGAAGGTTTACTACTCCAGGAATTAGAAAATTTACAATATAAATGTGATACATTACGCAACATACACTTATACTAACTGTGTCTCAAAAATAATGCAATGAGCTATTTACACATGATCGACACATTTTAATTTTTTTGTGGTGGTGGTTGCCAGAAATTGATAGTTTGTATGACACTGATACCCATCAAATTAACCAGTTTTGACATGGTTCATAAAAATACAATGGCAAAGCTAAGAGGATGACTGTCCTACTATGTGTAGTATTTGGCAAACTAGTTTTTTTAATGAAAGATGTATAAGTTAAGTGTATAATTTCCAGCCTTTGCATCAAAAAGGTATCATGAACACAAATCCTGTCATTAGTTAGTGTATAGCTATAACTACACAACTTATGGGTGACCATATAGTATCTCCATCCCCATTGATTTCTCCAACCAACCCATGCTCTCCCGCTGCTCGATGTCTATAAATACATATGCCCCTGCCTCCCAACTCTTCCCAGGCTTCATCATTAATTCATTTAGCTCCTCTCACTCGATAAACACCTATGGCATACATGCCTGCCTCATCAGTCCTCCTCCTCACCGCCATTGCTGCCGGTGCAAGCGCAGCCAGCTTCACCATTACAAACAAATTGTGGTTACACAGTGTGGCCGGCAGGCATCCCTGTCTGCGGGGGCACGCAGCTGGACCAAGGCCAGACATGGACCGTTGACGTGCCCACCGGCACCAGCGGCAGGTTCTGGGGCTGCACCGGTTGTTCGTTCAACGGGGGAAGTGGCCACTGTGACACTGGTGATTGTGCTGGTGCGCCCTCCTGCACCGTCTCCGGGCAGCCGCCAGCAATGCTGGCCGAGTACACCATCGGTGGCACTGGCAACAACCAGGATTACTATGACATCTCGGCTGTTGACGGCTACAACCTGGCCATGGCCTTCTCCTGCAGCACTGGCGTTGGGCTGGTGTGCATGGACCCTAGCTGCCCTGATGCATACCAGTATCCCACCGATTGTACCAAGACCCATTCATGCAGAGCCAACAGCAACTACCAGGTGACCTTCTGCCCTTGAAGCAGCGGATGGTGACAACGTCGAGCGGCGTACTACGTATTATGAAATATATAACTACCACTATAGCTATGACTCATCTACGTATGTATGAACGGAAATGTGAATGAATAATTTGATAAATAAGAGAATATATAGTAAATCATCCATGCGTCCATGTGTACTGATATATGAGACACATGTTCCATGTTTGTACTTGGTTATCAGGAACCTTATAAATCTAAACATGTTTCCTCAAATAAAGATGTGGATTTTCTCTATGCGCCATGAGCTTCCTGATTTATTTTCTTTTATAATTCTTATGTTCTTGAGCTACCTCCTTACAATGGCTATGTCTCGAAGGTTTAAACTACATATCTTGACGGTTTACTCTCCAGTTGTGCATTTGGGTGCTGCCTCATGCATCTAGGGGCAGTTTAATCTATATTACTTGAGTTCCATGGGTATGATCTGTAGTTATTTGTTGAAAGATACAACATGAAGTTATAAGGATCATGGTCCATACGAGACTCCCTCCCAAATGCTCTAATGTTTTAACTATTGAGTGTCCCTTTTCACTGCTAGCTAGATGACAAAGATGGATAATTTATTGACTCTTGAGAGTACCTTTTCACTCCAAGAGTAAGGGAACAATTTGAGCAACAATTGTTCATGTTAATAGGGCTAGAAATCATGGACCAAAGCTTCAACACTACTACAGAAAACGTTTGTAGCAATTTTTTGTAGGGGCCGCTGGTAATGGAGCCGCCCTACAGTGGGCATGCTCGGGACCCACGAGACCAGCCGCCCCTACAAACCGCACAGTTGGGGCGGCTTGTGATACGAGCTGCCCCTACAAATGTGTCGATTTATAGGGGCAGCTCACTCACCAGTCGCTCCTACAAAGCCAATTTGTAGGGGCGGCTCAATCACCAGCCGCCCCTACAAATATTTTTGTATTTTTTAAATATTAATTCTGCATATTTTTTATAAATATATATATAATTGTATTAAAAACAATTTGCTATATTTTTCCTGTACACATAAAAAACAACTTGCTGATATATATATAATGATACATTTTCTTTTTAAAAAATAAAAAAAATTATATTTAGAAAATGGAAATTTGAATTAGTGAGCAACAATTATGCATGTTAATAGGGCTAGAAATCATGGACCAAAGCTTCAACGCTACTACAGAAAATGTTTGTACCAACGGGATAATTTTTTTGTAGGGGCGGCTAGTGATGGAGCCGCTCCTACAGTGGACGTGCTCGGGACCCACGAGACCAACCGCCCCTACAAACCGGACAGTTGGCACAGCTAGTGATATGAGCTGCCCCTACAAATGTGTCGATTTGTAGGGGCGGCTCACTAACCAGCCGCTCCTACAAAGTCGATTTGTAGAGGCGGCTTAGTCACCAGCCGCCCCTACAAATATTTTCGTATTTTTGAAATATTAATTCTGCACATTTTTTATAAATGTATTAAAAACAATTTGCTATATTTGCCTATACACATAAAAAATAACTTGCTCATATATATAATGATACATTTTATTGTTTTAAAAATAAAAAAGTTATATTTAAAAATTAAAAATTTGAATTTGTGAAATTTGAATTAAATTTTAAGACAGAAAATGACCTAAAATGAAAATGTTGTAAACATCAAAGTTGTAAAACTCATCAAGATTTACAACTTTTATTTTGTTCATCTTTTCATGTGACTTAGTTTGAAACGTTCAAAATTTGAATTTCTTAAAATGGCAACTACAAACAATATTTTCAAAGAGTAAATGATTTTAGCTAGAAAAGTCATGAATATAAAAGTTATAGAAATCATCAAGATATAAAACTTTAATTTTGGTGATTTGTTCATCTGACAAAGTGATAAGAACATTGTTCATAAATTTTACATATCTCTAATATGGTTTCATAAACTATAGAAGAGATATGTAAGTTTTGTGAATAATGTTTGCTAATACTTTGTCAAATGAAGAAATAACCAAAATAAAAGTTGTAGATCTTGATGTCTTCAAAAACTTTTATATTGATGACTTTTTCAGCTCAGATCATTTAGTGTTTCAAAATCTGATTTCAAGTTGTAGTTTTTTAAATTCAAAATTTGAATTGTTCAAACAAAGTCACATAACAAGATGATCAAAATAGAAGTTGTAGATCTTGATAAGTTCTATAACTTTTATATTGATGACATTTTAGCTAAGATCATTTAGTGTTTCAAAATCTAGTTTGAAGTTGTAGTTATTTGAAATTCAAAAATTGCATTATTCAAAATTTGTCACATGAAAAGATGACCAATATAAATTTGATGGAGAATGATTTTAGAAAATTTTAGGAGAAAAAACCATAGCATTTGGAGTTAGTATGAGGGAGAAAGACTAGTTACAAATTTTAACCACAGATTAAAAAGAGAAATCACACTCTGTGTCTAATATTTATACATATATTGAATAATTATAAATTTATTATATAAATTGATATATAGAATACATAATTACTAATTAAAAAATTTTGAAAAATATTTCTAGGGGCGGCTTACTCAGGAACCGCCCCTACAAATCCATTTGTAGGGGCGGCTGGCGTTTTGAGCTACCCCTACAAATGCTCTTCGGTATATAAGCAGGAGGGTGCGGGGGGCTTCGTTTTGGCTAAGTCTTGGATACTCACTCTCCCTTTGACTTCAGCAGGCTGCAAAAATTCAGTGCCGCCATCGCCACCGCCTTTGTGCCCTACCTCCACTGTGCCCTACCTCCCCCGATCTGACTCCAACACCAGGTCTGCCTTCTTGCCCTGCGCGTGCGCCGCTATCTATGCACACGATGGGTCGTAGGGTTTTCGTCAGCGACCTCGATGACCACCGTCGTTCCCTACTTCCCCTGGTCTACCTCCAACCTCTAGTCTGCCTTCGTGCCCTACACACGCGCCGCCGTTCCCCGTGCACACGGTGGCTATAGTTTCCGTTGATGACCTCCACCGGCTCATCTCCGACCTTGAGCTCCACCAACCCCGTATAGCTAGGGTTTGAGGGCCCCTGCCCGCTGCGCCACCGCCCTGTGTGTTCAGCGTCCATGCGCGCTCTCCCCCACCCGTGTGTTCGGCGTCCGCACGCTCTTCCTTGGTGGCCCTAGTGTCCACGCCCCCTTCCTTGGCGATGGTACACTAGTTGTCGTGTCCTCCGGCGTCAGCGCCCCCTCCCCCAGCATCCTTCTGTAGGTATGTCAACCCCAGCCCCTTCCCCTTGACCCCTTTTCCTCCATTCCTATTGCACCGAGTTCATGCTGTGTTCAATTTCACTGAGACTTGGATATGTTGCTGAAATGGGTTGTGAGACTTTGATATGCCGTGCTCAATTTAGATCAGAGTACCATGTTGTCCTAATGTAGTAATGTGTGCTGAAAATGACCTCTTCTCTAGCATTTCTATTTGAAATACCTTTTTGTGTTGTCATCATGGTATTAGTCTTGAGCTAAATAATGTTGTCATCATGGTATTAGTCTTGAGTTACTAAAACTGTGTTTATATATGCTCACTGTTTTTGTACATGCCACTGTGTTTATATATGCTCACTGTGATTATATACGCTCACTGTTTTTAGATATGCCAACTCTTTTTATATATGGTCACTGTGATTGTATATGCTCACTATGATTATATATGCTCACTATTTTTAGATATGCCAAATGTTTTTTATATATGATCACTGTGATTGTATAAACTCATTGTGATTATATATATCCTCACTGTTTTTATATATGCTCACTGTGTTTATATATGCTCACTATTTTTAGATATGCCAACTATTTTTATATATGGTCACTGTGATTGTATATGCTCACTTGATTATATATGTTCACTGTTTTTAGATATGCCAACTATTTTTATTTATGGTAAATGTGATTGTATATGCTCACCATGATTATATATATCCTCACTGTTTTTATATATGCTCACTGTGTTTATATATGCTAACTGTTTTTATATATGCTCACCGTTTTTATATATGGTCACTGTGATTGTATATGCTCACTGTGATTATATATGCTCACTGTTTTTAGATATGCCAACTGTTTTTATGTATGGTCACTGTGATTGTATATGATCATTGTGATTATATATATCCTCACTGTTTTTATATATGCTCACTGTGATTATATATGCTCACTGTTTTTAGATATGCCCACTGTGTTTAAATATGCTCACTGTGATTGTATATGTTGACTGTGATTATATATGCTCACTATTTTTAGATATGCCCACTGTGTTTATATATGCTCATTGTTTTTGTACATGCCCACTGTGTTTATATATGCTCACTGTGATTATATATGCTCATTGTTTTTAGATATGCCAACTATTTTTATATATGGTCACTATGATTGTATATGCTCACTATTTTTAGATATGCCAACTATGATTATATATGCTCCCTGTTTTTATATATGCCCACTATCTTTATATATGCTCACTGTGATTGTATATGCTCACTGTGGTTGTATATGCTCACTATTTTTAGATATGCCCATTGTTTTATTTATGCCAATTGTGTTTATATATGCTCCTTTTAACTAGAAGCAACTGCTTTGTAGAGCCTCCTCTCCTCTCCTACTACTTCTACTTCTCTCTACCCTACTGCTACTATTGTTGTCCTACTATTAATAGTACTCCTGCTACTACTATATATGCTCACTGTTTTTGTTTGGTCTCCTCTCCTCTCCTCTACTACTACTTCTACTTCTCCTACTCCTCTATGTTTGGTAGAAGCTGCTATCTCTTTTTGGAACCAGTAGCTGCTTTTTTTGGGCAAACTCTCGTCTCGTCTCACCTGTTTGGCCTATGATGAATTTGTCCAACTCCAGAAATTATCTAGATTATGAGCTGATGATCATGAACTTGTGAGGAACTTGGCATCATTACCAGCCGCCCCTACTATCTTTTTCTATTAGTTCATTACGGTTTTTATATATGCTCACTGTGTTTATGATGCCTTTATGCTCCAAGTTCTTG